CCCCCCCCCCCCCCCCCCCCCCCCCCCCGAACATTCATTCAACCTTTATTTCTACAGGTAAATCCCATCGAGCCTCGAGGACTCATTTACAAAAGAGACCTGATTTTAACAAAGAACAGTGACAACAGTGGACGATCATAAAAGATGTAAAAAAAATGAACAAATGAAAATTAAAAGAAAAAGTAGCAAAAAAAAACTGCGACATTATAAAGTGATATAAAATATTAAAAACAGGAACATCTGCAGGAACTTAACAGATGTTTGAAGCCACTTAGAGAGATCAAAGGTCGAGAGCTTCAGGTCTTTTTACAAGATATTCCAGGAAACAGGAGCGGAGTAGGAGAAGGTCCTTTTGTCTAGTTCAGTCCTCACTGAGGGAACACTGCAGGTAATGATGTCCTGAGAGCGCACGCTGTAGCTGCACTCACGCAGAGACATGTAGGAGGAGATGTATGAAGGCAGCAGACCAAGAAGTGATTTAAAGATGAAAATGTACCAGTGAGAGAGTCTGTGTGGAGTTAATGGTGACCAGTTAACCAGTGAATACTGGGAGCAGTGGTGGGTACGATAGTTACAGCCAGTTATGAATCTTAGTGCACCATGACACACAGCATCCAACATCTGCAGTATCCAACATCTGCAGCATCCAACATCTGCAGTATCCAACATCTGCAGCATCCAACATCTGCAGGGTTCTTGTAGGAGCGTTCATATAGATAATGTCAGAACAATTGCTAAATGTAAACTGTGTTAAAGATGTTTTAAAGACAACTGTCCACACGACCTGGAGTACGTTTTAAATTAGTTTTATATTTTATACCAGCTCCTTTCAGTCCTTCATTCAGTCTTCATGCTTTTCCCTCCTCTTATCCCTGAATCGAAGCTGTCGTTCATCATTTTCTCAGCGCTTCTCGTTTCCTCTGAAGTCCTGGTGAATTTACGCCTGCCCACCTCGGTTACTGCAGATCCAGCAGCCGCACCAACAGCTCCACCAATCACCCCCCCTAAAAACACACCCAGCACCAGTCCCAGAATGGCACCCCCAATGACGGCCTTTGGCACCTGTTTCACAGCCATACCGACTTTCTCCCACACTGAGCTCTCTGCCACCAGTTTGGCACCGGCTTTTGCCCCAGAACCCACCTGGCCCCACACAGGACTCTGTGCCACCTGCTTTGCACCAGCGCTGATCCCTGATCCAACTCTCACAGAGCCGTCCGCCACCAGCTTAGCTCCAGTTTTGGCTCCAGAACCTACTTTTTCCCACACAGGACTTTGAACCAAATTCTTGGTCCCTGAACGGACTTTGTCCCACATCGGACTTGATGCCAGTGTTTTTGCTCCAGACCCCACCCAGGAAGAGCCATCCACCACCACTTTGGGAACCCGATCTCCCACAGCTTTGGAGACATGTCCGGCAGTAGCTCCCACCTTTTCCCACACAGAGCTGTCAATCACCATCTTCTGCACGTTTTGTGCACCACCGCAGACTGCTGCCCACACCGGACTGTCTTTCATCTTCTTTGCTCCCTCTCCAACCCACACGGAGCTTTCTGCCAAGAGTTTGGGGAAATTCTGCGCACCAGACTCCATTTTCTCCATAATGGAACAGAGAAGTGAAGGAGACATGCTGGAAAGAGTAATAGGAGGAAGGCTCTCGATATTCATTGTGCTAACACTCATCTCTGCCTCGTCCCTCGTTTCCTCATGTTCTTCCACCTGAGGCAGAAGCTGCCTCTCCGACCTGAGCTGTCGAACTCCTGCTGCTTGTTCCTGCCACACCTTCAGGCCCGTTCTCTCCTGTGCTATCTCTAACTGCCTCTGTCTCACTCTTTTCTCTGCCTCCTGAAAAGCAGGGCAGGAATAACACTGTCCTCCAGCCTCCTTCACAGTCTGCTCCACCTTCTCCAGCAGCTCTGCTACGTTCTTCTTCTCCATCAAACCATCTCCCTTCTCCACAATGTGATACCGGTCTCCACATTTTTCCACAAGCTTTATCAAATCCCCCCGCTGGCTGGCGATGTATTCTTCCACGCTTTTGTTTCCTACTTTGTTGTTTGCCCGCAGTCGATCTGCGTACGTAAAGAGGACTATAGTGTGTCTCTGGATCGATTCTGGGCCAAAGACTTTCTCCAGAGCCACGAGGGCCTGAAGCTCGGTCTTAGCGGGCTGGTCCAACGGGACGCACAGCAGGAAGGCGTGAGGCCCGGGACTGGCTAAAGCAACGCAGGAGGAGATCTGCGCTCGCACCTCATCCGGCGTTTGCTCCGAGTTGAACCAGTCAGGGGTGTCCACCACTGCCACCTGCAGGCAAGAGAAAAACAAACCAGTGGTGGGCACAGCTAGCCAAAACGTTAGCTTTGCTAACTCGTATTTCACTAACTAAAGTGTAAAATGTTCACTAATGCTAAACAGGTTAAAGAATTAGCACAAGCTGACACTAGCTGCTAACCCGTTAAGGTGACTGTCAGTCAGTCTGTGTCGCACATCTTTGTCTCCTCTCAGTTACACTGGTGGGACTGACACAAACCTGTCCATGTTAGTTTAATTATACTGGTTTGATCTGGGCAGGGTCGTTTGTGGCAATTCACCCAATCCAAACCGGAGTTATAACCCGGTGTAACACAAAGATGCTACTCAAGGCACACGATGCACGCGTGCAGGGCTGCATGTGGGAGGGGCTACTTTTCATTTTATAAATTATATAAGTTTTACACATCAGAGGAAGCGTTTGAGCTATGCTGCTCAGCCACTGCTGTGTCGACCAATCACATCGTGCCACGTGTGCATGTAGTCAGCCAATCGCGTGCCTGGACTCTTTGAGACACGCCCACAACAGACAGGAAAAACGTGAATTTTGTTAGCGGACAAAGTTAGCGGAAACTAATCGGGTTTGTAAAGTTAGTGAAAACTAATTCACTAAACAAAAAGTTAGCTTTGCTATTAGCTGTTAGCAGATTAGCAGAACATCACCTCCGCTGATTATAATAAAAAACACTGAACAAACATGACGGTGAAAAGCTCTGGGTGAGTGGAGACAACATCTTGCGATAAAAATTGTAAATAAAAATGATAAACGAACCCTTTTCCCTTCGACCTGTGCCTTCTTCTTCTCACACATCTGGGTGATTGCCCTGAAGCTGTCTGGATGGGACTCGAACGCCTCCTGTCCAAGAATCCTGTTTCCTGCTGCACTCTTTCCTGCTCCGGATCGCCCGAGCAACACCAGGCGAAGCTCCGGGGAGGACGGGGGAAACAAGGAGGACGAGGGGGACGGGGACAACGAAGGAGAGGCGTCAAATGTTGGTGAGGAGGAGAAAGACGAGAAGACGGGTGAACGAGGAGAGGAGGCCGGAGACGGCTCGGGCGTTCCTTCCTCAAAGCTGTTGATTCGGTGGTGAACTGAAAATCATCAGAACAGTTGAAATGAATTTAAATGAATCAAGTGGACGTGAAGATCAAGTGACGTTTTAGACAAAAAGTCCAGCAACTTACAGGTAGAGATGACCTTTGATGAGGATTTCATGTCAGAAATTTGTGAGAGTATAGCGCCATCTAGAGGAAGAAACAGGAAGAACTCATTGTTTCATCTTTTCCTCCATGTGACCTTTAATTTGTCTGTTTGTCAGTTGCTCAATAATTAATCGACTGACACGACCACAAATCTTTCCGTTCTAATGTTTAACTGTTCTTTTACCGTGTGTCGATGTTTCAAACGTTTTGTAAAGAGGCAGTAAAATCCTTGACTTCAGAGTAACTACCTGCATTCAGCCTGAAACTGGGCGTCCTGGTTAACTGGTTGAGATCTTCAGACTCTGGTGGAGATGGGCGCTGTGGGACTGGAGCTGAATGAAGTCCGTTAGTCACCGTGGTCTCAAACACTCGGCCTTCCACTTCATCTTCTTCTCTCCACCTCCTCTTCCCAGAGGTGCTGATGGAGTCGCTGTCTGCGTTTGAGAAGGTCCTCCATGTGATGGACTTTATTTTCTCCTCCTTTTGAGCTTGGTAACTTTCCATCAGCTCTCGCTTTCGTTCCCTCACCCGTCTGTCCAGCTCTCTCTCCTGGGAGGTTTTCATGTGGTACACCCCATGTCTCTGCACCATGCTCTCCATCTATTGGGAAATAAATCAGTTGTTTCATTGCAAGACTCTAAAAACTAAAGTGCATGATATGAATCATAGGACGGAGGTTGATCAACAATGAAATGCAATAAAAAGTTCCAGATCGTCCTACTTTCATCTAATAAATGTAATCAATGTGTTTGAACATGTTCTTGTGTTGATTATAAGAGTCTCTGTTATGTTGAATCACTTCTGGTCAGGTTGGTCACATGTTGCTCAGCTTCCATAAGAAAAAATCTAATTATGAAAAGTGAGGTTTACATTCATTTGGAAGAGATTTCCATTTTTAAGAACATGTGAACCGTGCACCAAACCTTCACAGATTTAATAAAATATCTGAATCATAAAGAAGGAAAGTTCAGAACATGCACTCATTAAAGTGGCTGCACGTCAGACATGAAGATCAATCACTACTTTCATAGCGTCCAGAACGTTTCAGCTAAGATTATCCAACAAGTGGTTCACAGCAGGTGAAGGGAGGAAGCACCTGTCGTAGTCAGTGACGTGCAGTCATCATGACAAGACCAGGATAATTCAGTTTATTTCAATAACGCCAAGTCACAACTGAAGTCGTCTCAGAGGAAACTGGCTCCTAGGTTCAATTCTGAGTTACGTACTTTAAAGCAGCATCTAGAAACCAGGAGAGAAAATGGCACTCTACTAATGTTGAAGAATTTTATTTAACTTGGAAAGATATTCTGCTAACACATAAAAAAGCTCTCCGTAAAGCTAGAACTTCATATTACTCATCTTTAATAGAGGAGAATAAAAATAACCCTAGGTTTCTGTTTAGTACTATAGCTAGACTAATTAAAAGTCCCATTCCTGTTGAACCATGTATCCCTACAACTATAAGTAGTGATGACTTCATGAAATTCTTTATAAATAAAATTATTTCAATTAGAGAGAAAATTCAAACCATCCTTCCTTCTACTATCTCTAGTCCCCTGTCAAATGAGACAACTTTAAACATTTCACTAGAGCCTGATTTATGTTTGGACAGTTTTTGTCCTGTTGAGCTCTGAATTGTCAAAATTAATAACCTCATCCAAACCATCCACATGCCTGCTAGATCCCATCCCAACCAGACTGTTTAAAGAGGTATTTCCACTAATTAATGTCCACATTTTGGATCTACTTAATTTGTCTTTAAATTAAAATGTAAAATGTAAATGTCTGGGTGGTCCTACAGTCCAGGGGAACCAAGAGGTCAGCCGAGTCTGGGTGGACGGATCAAACGGCATCTGCAGCCAGTTTCTTAGGATCCACTGTGGGATGGACCTTTACAAGAGATCCTTCCTGCCTACAGCATCAGCATCTATAACATCTCTTAATGAAATGAGGATAACGAGTTACAACAACAAATAATTTCCCTCTGGGATTAATAAAGTATTTTTGAATAAAATTGAATTGTCTTTAATGGATGGTTATGTACCACAGAGCTTTAAGTTGCTGTAATTAAACCTTTACTTAAGAAGTCTGATCTTGATTCAGAAATTCTGGCCAACTATAGATCTATATCTAATCTAACTTTAATCTAAAAAAATTCTAGAGAAAATAGTTGCAGGTCAGTTACATGATCATCTGCAAAGAAATAATGTGTTTGAAGAGTTTCAGTCAGGGTTTAGAGCTCA